GCCCCTCCTGCCATCCCCGGCCGCCTGCGCCGTGCTTCTCAGCGAAAAACTGCCTGGGCGTGCCGCCTCTTTTCTCCCCGCGCTGCTCGCCGTCTGACCAGGAATTGCAGCGCCGCGTCGACGGCCCCTCCTCGGGCGGGCCGCGCAGGGCCCACGGCGCGGCGAACGCCTTTGCCATCCCCGGCTCCTCCCGAAGAGCCTCTGGCGAGGTCCGCATGGCGGTCAGCGTCGCGCCCCATGCCCTTGCCTTTCGGCCCGCCAGCGCCCTCGTTCTTGCCCGCCCCCTGGCCCCCAGACTGGAACTGCAAAAACGGGTCGCCCAAGGCCAGCGGCGATTGCAGTGGCCCTTCCGCTTCGTCGGCCATTGCCGCCGTCGCGGCCGCAGAGGTCTCGGGCTGAAATAGCAATGCGAAAGCGCGGTCGCAGGGGCGCCCCGCGAGATAGCAAGCGCAGGCAAGCGAGTGCATGGTTGACACAGGGCTCAGGGAAAGCGGCCTCGAAGAGTTCCCCCAGTGCAAGCGAGTGCATCGCTGGCAGAGGGCTGAGGCAAGCGAGTGCATCGCCGACGCAGGGTTCTGGACCGTTTGCTTGCCAGTTGCCCCTCTCCCCCTTGCCCTCCTCATCCCCCTCTCCTTTTCGCCCCGTCCCGCCTTGTCTGGTCCCCGAGCGATTGAATCGCTTAGCGATAGATTCGCTTTTTTTTCTGTTCGCAAACAGCGCCAGGGCATCCCGCGAGAATCGGAGAGACGGCGGCAGGGCTCCTTGGGACGCTCGCGCGGCTGACTCATACGCTAGAATGCGCTATCCAGGGCCCCGGAAAGAAGCACGGCAACCAATGCTACGCATGATCGGACAAATTGTCTTGAACGCCGCAGCAGGATCACCCATAAGCAGGCGAGACGCGCGGCTGATCAAGCGCGACTGAAAACCGAAAACGTGTCAGAGAGAAACTACACACATGATAGGCTACTGACCCAACAGCTTTGAAATCCTGAGCCGCTCTTTGCAACTCGAGCACCCCGTCTTGGCGCAACGGCACTTCGAACGCCCGACCTTTTTGATGGGCTTCAACAGCGGTGACACGGTGACGCTCTTGCCGCTGCCCTTGCCCGTCGTCTTAGCCTTGCTGCTCTTCCCCGCGGCGCCCTTCACCGCGGCCTCTCCTTTTTCCTTCGGCGCTGGGCCCCCCCCGCCCTGCCCCTCGGTCGCGAGCACGAGCAGGATTGCCCTTCTTCTTGGTCGCGAGGCGACGGACTCCTGCTTCGGAGCTGCCATGCCCCCCTTGGCGACGGTGGCTGTTGCTGGCGGCGCTGGCGCCGGCGCAGGCGGCGGTGCCTCTTCTGGAGCGGAAGCGGGAAGAGGGCCCGCGGCAGCGTCCTCCAGGGCCGGGAACGCCGAGGGCGAGGCCGAGGCGTGCTTCGCGCCGCCGCCCCCTAGGATCTCGACGTTCAAGGGGATTGCCCCAGCACCGACATCTGCCTGCCGCAAGTCGTCGAACATGAGCTGCGTCATCTGCGGCACGTCGGGCTGCGACGCCGAGGCGCTCGACGCCTCCGCCGCCGTGGCCTGCTGCTGTGTGTTGCAGCATGGGGCCGTGGCCTGGGCGGAGCGCATCGCCGCCTCTGTCACAGGGCATGCCGCCGGTAGCTTGTCGCCATGCACTTGCCTTAAGAGAGCAGGGCGGTTTTCGCAGAACGTCGAGGGGGCCGCGCACAGATCGGTCAGCCGACCAGGGGGCGCAGGAAGCCTCAACCTTCGTGGGCGAACTTGCGGCTTGGGAGGGACATGTTGACATGCGGGGGGGTCGCGACGGGACAGGCGGTGAGGAAGGCCGCGCTTTCACCCGCAGCCTGGCGTTTGAACACGGGCATGGCTTGCTGGAGGCACGCGCGCTTCGAGCCCCGCGCCGGCGATTTCGCGGCCTCGGCTCCGTCCGCGGCCATGCGCCACATTGTCGTCATGATGCGCGCCTTCGGCTGGGCTGCGGAGCCCTAGGTTAATCGCCGCAACTACCAGCAGGTTGAGCTTCGCTTCCTCGCGCGCGTCGGCCCTCGCCAACTGATGCCGCGAGCCCGCTGCAAGGTGCCGGAAGATGCGCTCGTAGTCCTGCAGAGGCACCCGTAGGCCAATGGCCTCGCCTGAAGCCGCGACGTTGCCGAGCTTCTCCAACGGCCCCCCCTTAGAAGCACCGGGTCACGGCTGCGCTGCGACGAGGGCCGAGAGGGCGGTCATCTGCGTGGGTTGCAGCCTCGCGCCCCCGAAAGCACGCGCGGGCATCCTGTCCTGCGCGGCCGCCACCGTCTCGAAACAGGGCTGCCCCTGCATTGCCCCAGGCAACTGCCCGACGTCTTCGACTTGGTCGCGCAAGCGCTGGGCAGCCATGTCCACGGCGCCGCCCCCCCATCAAAAATTAGCCTGGCGAAGGGCCCGACCATATGCAGTTGTGAGCAATGCCGGTGTGAGTACCGTCTTCTGTGGATTTCCCTATGGGGCCACGAACCGTTTGAGGGGTGTGCCGAAATGGGTGTGGGGGCGGCATGCGAACGTTGCCACTGGGGCCTTCGGTGGAGCTCCTTATGGGGCCACGAAACGTGTGAGGGGTGCACCGAAGTTGGTGTGGGGGCGGCATGCGAACGCAGCCACTGGGGCCTTCGGTGGAGCTCCCTGTGGGGCCACGAAACGTGTGAGGGGTGTGCCGAAATTGGTGTGGGGGCGGCATGCGAACGCAGCCACTGGGCCTTCGGTGGAGCTCCCTATGGTGCCACGAAACGTGTGAGGGGTGTGCCGAAATGGGTGTGGGGGCGCATGCGAACCCAGTCACTGGGGCCTTCAGTGGAAATCCCCATGGGGCCACGAAACGTGTGAGGGATGTGCCGAAATGGGTGTTGGGGAGGCATACGAACCAGGCCACTGGGGCCTTCGGTGGAGCTCCCTATGGGGCCACGAAACGTGTGAGGGGTGTGCCGAAATGGGTGGTGAGGAGGCATGCGGACCCTGGCCACTGGGGCCTTCGGTGGAGCTCCCTATGGGGCCACGAAACGTGTGAGGGGTGTGCCGAAATGGGTGCGGGAGCATGCGAACGCAGCCACTGGGGCCTTCGGTGGAGCTCCCTATGGGGCCACGAAACGTGTGAGGGGTGTGCCGAAATGGTGGTGGGGAGGCATGCGGACCCTGCACTGGGGCCTTCGGTGGAGCTCCCTGTGGGGCCACGAAACGTGTGAGCGGTGTGCCGAAATGGGTGGTGGGGAGGCATGCGGACCCTGCCACTGGGGCCTTCGGTGGAGCTCCCTATGGGGCCACGAACCGTGTGAGGGGTGTGCCGAAATGGGTGGTGGGGGGGCATGCGACCCTGCCACTGGGGCCTTCGGTGGAGCTCCCTATGGGGCCACGAAACGTGTGAGGGGTGTGCCGAGATGGGTGGTGGGGAGGCATGCGTGAGCGCGCTGCCACTGTGGCGTTCTGGTGAGCTCCCTATGGGGCCACGATCCGTGTGAGCCGTGTGTGCCGAGATTGTGTGGTGGGAGGCATGCGGACCTCCACTGGGTGCCTTCGGTGGAGCTCCCTATGGGGCCACGAAACGTGTATGGGTGTGCGAAATGGTGTGGAGGCATGCGGACCCTGCCACTGTGCCATCGGGGTGGAAAATCCCTATGGCCACGAAACGAGGTGACGGGTGTCCGAAATGGGTGGTGGTGAGGCAGCAGACCCCTGCCAACTGGGGCCTTCGGTGGAGCTCCCTATGGGCCACGAAACGTAAATGAAAGGGGTGCCGAAATTGGTGGTGGGAGGCATGCGGACCCTGCCACTGGGGCCTTCGGTGGAGCTCCCTATGGGGCCACGAAACGTGTGAGGGGTGTGCCGAAATGGGTGGTGGGGAGGCATGCGGACCCTGCCACTGGGGCCTTCGGTGGAGCTCCCTATGGGGCCACGAAGCGTGTGAGGGGCGTGCCGAAATCGTTGGTGATGATGATGATGATGATGATGATGATGATGATGATGATGATGATGATGATGATGATGATGATGATGATGATGATGATGGGAGGTGGGAGGGGGGGGAGGAGGAGGAGAAGAGGAACGCGGGGCACCGTCTCTTCAAAACGAGGACCCAACACCACAGGATGGTTGGGAACAAACCTTGCACGAGCTTGCGCAAGCAAACGGCTTCGATAACTGGCGCATGGAGGTCGTTCTGGGCAGCCATTGGTGAGTTGCATAGCGCATTCACCGCTCATGTGTTAGCATCCCTTAGCGAATACATCGCTATCATCACCATGTTCCACCCTGCTGTCCCTAGCGATTCGATCGCTCACACAATTCCCTCTTGTGCCCTATCCCTAGCGATGAGATCGCTCAGACAAATCCCTCCTGCCCCCCTCTCTCCTGTTCCCCACCCTGGCGATTAGATCGCTCAGACAATGTATTGTCGCACGCGGGGTGCGATATCTCAAATGCTTGACCCAAATCCGCATCGGTGGGGTCATAGAAGTTATGGAAGTTATGCCCGTTATAACACGACTAGATGTTCGTTCTAAGTTGGTGTATAACTGTATTTGCGGGCTCCGTATAAGTATAGTTGCGGCTTCTGTAAGTTCACCTTCGTTTGCGACAACTAAAACCGTAATTCTGTTTAAAAAGTTCAACTTTGCTAGCCCGAAGTCGCTACCCCAGTGGGACGACCCTGGCGCCCACCGGGGCTGCGGAGTGCCGCCGAGGCTGGAAACCCTTCGGGGGCCAACGAAATGTCGGATCACACAACGAGCTTCGAACTTCAAGTTCGAACTGCCGAAACAACTCATCCGAGATCCGGATCCCAGTCTCGGTCGGTTCTCCGGGACCGGCTCCTTTTCCTTTATGACTCGTCTTTGGACGGCCCCGGGCCACGGGATAGGGCCTCCGGAGGCCGAGAGTTGCCAAAAGCTTTCCGTCGCGATATTTTTTTTTCGAATCCAGGGGGGGGGTGGGGCTTTCACTCTCCCAGTCTGTGGCCGGCCGGCGAGGCGCTGCGCGCGCAGCTGCAGGGGGCGCGCCCGGCGGCGGCAGCGCTGCCCGGCGCGGGCGGGCCCGAGGCCGCGCAGGCGCCGGCCGACGCGGGCGAGATGCGGGCGGAGGTGGAGAGGCGGTACGCCGAGGCGGCGGAGCTTGGAATGGGTGCGGATCAAGCAGTGGCGAAGCGTCTCGGCGTGCACCTAGGCCTGCCAAGCAATGTTCTGAGAACCTGTTGTGGTGTCCGCGAATGTTTTTAGAACGTTTGTGGCTGGGACGGTTTTGTTTCACCACATCGAGTTTATGTTCTAAGAACACCGTTGTTGTTAGGATATTTTTGGGTTCTAAGAACATGTCATGGTAGGCCTGGAGGAATGCCGGGTCGGTCGGTCCCTGCTCAAACGGATGGGTACAACGCCAAACCGCAGTTGTTGTTCATTCGGAGCAGGATTGGCTGTCGGCCGCGCGGCGGTGGTTGCTCATGTGAGACAGAAGGCCGCCTGCCCAACAACAACCACTGTCGGTTTTGGACAATACTTGCGGTTGGACATCGTACCCAAATCTTTCGTACACATTTCGGGCGTCCAAACTGGATACGACATTTCGGTGGCAAATCATGGGAGCATTGAGTACCCTTGTAATTCTGTCCGTGGCGTGCAGCAGCGTCGTTCAGCGCCTGGTAATCAATGAGGTCGCACCGATTTAGCGTCGACTAGCCTCGAATCGCCTCGATTAGCGTCGAACACGCGTCGATCAGCGTCGATTTGCATGGGCCAGCACGGTGATATAGGAGGCTCCCATGAGTTGCCACACGGCGATTTTCTAGACGCTTCCCGTAACCCCACCAGCCAATGCAGAAACGATGTCTAGACGACTTGCCCTATTCAGGGATGTGGATCTCGGAGTGTCTTCGGACTTCTTCCGAGTCCTCTCGAAGTGTGTTGGGGGTCTCCTGGCAGTCCCGGAGGCCTCTTGGGGCGTCTTGGGTGCCTCTGGGTAGCCTCTTGGGCCTTCTTGGGGGTTTCTTGGGAGCCTCTTGGGGTCACCTTAGGGGCCTTTGGGGAGTCTGTTGGGGCCTCCTTGGCACCTCTCGGGGCCGTCTCGGGGAAACCTTGGGAGCTTCGGGGGCCATCTTGGGGTCATCTTGGAGGAGATCGTTCGAAGGAGGGGCCCTAGTACATTAGAGTCCCGCACCAGGAGGCCAAAACGTGGCCAAAACCTTTTTGTAAAAACAGTGATTTTGATATTCCCACCGAGGCCTCTTGGGTCGTCTTGGGTGCCTCTGGGGGGCCTCGTGGGGGTCTCTACGGAACCTCTTGGGCCGACTCTTTGGGGGCATCCTAGGGCCTCTTGGAGGCCTCTTGAGGCCTCCTGGGCACCTCTTGAGGCTGTCTAGGGGCATCCTTGAGAGTGTCGAGGGCCATCTTGGAGGAGATCGATCAAAGGAGGGGGGCTCCTCAATTAGAGTCCTCCCCCTCTAGGAGGCCGAACTGTTGCCGAGACCGTACGCTTCACATGAATATGCTTTGGGCCTCGCCGAGGCCAGAGAAAGACCCTCTGACTCCTCGCGCCCCCCCCGCCCAGACCCAGGGGGAGGGGGGAGGGGGGACGGGCCAAGACGCCCTCCTCGACAGCAAGCCCTCGAGCTCACTCCCACCGGCCCTGCCAACACATAAGGAACATTCAGGAGGGAACAAAAACACACAGACACAATTCATCGTCGGTTCCCAGAAAATATTGGAAAATTTGGGAACCGGGGGGGAAGACAAAAGCACAGAACATACTTGAAAATGTAGGGAAGCCTGTTACCTGTGTGTACTTAACTTGCGTGTCCCAGTGTCCCTTCAAACACCCGAGCCTGAGCATGTTCAGCGATCGTCTTTGGATGGGCAGCTACTGGGAACCAAAACCGACCCCATGTGCGCGACGCTGGGGCGAGGTGCGCCACGCGTGCCAGCGTGCACCACGCGCGCCAGGCACCCCTAAGGCCCCCGAGCGTGACAGGCACTCCTGGTACGCCAGACGCGCCACGTGCTCCGCGTGCGCCAGGTGTGTCGCATACTCTAGCCGCGCCAGGTGCGCCACGTTCGGGGCACGTGCGGAGGGTGTCAGGTGCGCCTGCGCATGTGATAGCACAGATCGGGAAACATGTCGGCCCCCAACATCCTTGTCAAAAAGCAATGCCCATCATTGTGTCCGGTGAGCCTGCACACAGCAGGCCATACGCCACCACATCCGCCGCCCCTGTCAAAAACACTACAAAGTGTTCGCGGGCCTCACGAACATGATTGAAGACTTTGCCCCAAAGTTTACTCTGCATTGTTTTTGAAAGGTATTGTGGGCGGAGGGGGGCGCATCGGGTTGGCCGCGCATGCTCCGCATGTACAGGCAGAGTGTGTATTGTATTTTTGTTGACCGAGACGGTGGGGGGAGGGTCCTCATGGTGTCCTCATGGTTCCTGGTTGGCTGCCGGTCGCCTGGGGGAAGGGAACGGTGATAAACCCTTCCCCGAAAGGGAAGAAGGGGGTCGGAAGAGGAATCTCTCCAAGCCATTCACGCCCTGAAGTGCTGGTGGGATTCAGACATCCCGAGGGCCCGATACTTCCGCAGGCCGAAAGATTTTCCTCTCTAGCCCCACATGTCGGAAGCGAGGCGCCGTTCAGGTGAGTTGATACATGTAGTGCTCCTTTCGAGGTGGGCTAGATCTGTTATGGTTGGAGATGCTCTTCCTTCCTCCTCCCCCCTCTTCCCTGATAATTTCTTCTCTCTACCCTCCTGCACCCCCTCTGTTCTCCTCCAACCTCCCCTTGCCTCCTCCCTCATCCTTCCCCCCTCCGCCCTGGGAAGACCCCCCTCCCCCGTAGAATCATAGCATTGGTCTGTATATCCACAGCTCCGTGGATAGCATGATGCTTCACTTGCGGTGCTCCGCAGATCCCATTTCCCCTGGGTCCCGGATGTTAATTATTATTACATATTTATTCCCGGGAAATAAATGGATATATCGTTTATCACACACAGGAATTTTGATCCGCGCAACACAGAAATAGGATCCACGAACTTCTCCCACACCCGAAAACGAATCCAATTGGATCCATTGATGTTTTCATATTTTAGCCCAAGAAGAAAAAACGTTCGGCCTGGGGATGAAGGGTTTAGCACCCCTTACGTAGGGGGAGACGCAGTTCAAAATCCCACTGAAGGATTTAGCACCCCTTACGTAGGGGGAGACGCAGTTCGGAATCCCACTGTATGCGGCCCAGTGCTCGCAGGGCCCTTCTGCGTACATCTTTGGCGCGGCAGGCGTGCGATCCGATCCAAGCTCCGTGCCGGTTCGGCGCCCATCTGGCGCATTTTCCCGTCCGGTCCGATTCGTCGACTCAGTGCTGGCCTCGGGGGCAACGTCGGAGGGGGATAGGCTCAGGGGGGGGGGGTTGTGTCGACCCCGAATGGCCCAATCATCGCCGACGGGGGCCTCTGATAGCATGGTGAGGCAGCACAGCCCGCCCAGGACCTCACAGGTGTCGCCAACTGTCGGAAGCTCATCGCCGACCTGCCTCGCCGATTCCAGGTCGGTGTTCCCCCCTCTGAGCCAGCCCCTCCCTAGTGTCGACCAGACGCGAGAGTGACATCTCGCCAGAGTGACCTCTCGTGCGGGCACAGACGGGTCCCCGGATGGCTAAAAAACGTGGCAGTCGCGGCTGCTTGCGCGCCCGGGTTTGGTCCCCCCGCGGCCCCCTAAAGAGTCGTGTACACCAAAGGTCACTCTTACCCAGGGTCGCTCTTGCGTGTATCAGGAGGAAAAAAACACACGGACACAATTAATCGGCGATTCCCCAGAAAATGTAAGAAAATATTGGAATTGGGGGGGAAGACAGAAACCCTGAAAATATAGGAAAGTATGGGGGTTCCTTTTATTTGTGTGTATTTTTTTTTGTGTCCTGGGGCCCCTTCAGTGTAGCCGGTACTGTTGCTCTTCACTTCTGAGAAGGTCTGCCCCCTCAATGATCATCGTCGTCTGTTCTTCGGATCATAGCTCGGGTCTCTGGCGGCCGTTCGGGATGATCCAGGCCCCCCCAGACGCTTCTGGGCGAGGCGCAGCTGCAGGAACGCATCCCGAGGCTGGAGAGTCGGCGAGAAACGACGAACGCGCCAGAACAGCCGAACCTCGAACCCCTATCTCGGAGAGGGGATGGAGAGGAGGACGATCCGATTCGTCGATCCGGTGCTAGCGCAGCTGCTAGAGAGCATCCTGAGGCAGGAAAGACGCCGAGAAGCGTACGACCGAAAACCATGAACATCCTATCGTTTTCTATCCTCCTATCGTTTCACCGGGCGGTCAGGAACTTTGGCTTAGCGTGTCGCGCCGCCAGTTCTAGCCCGCCGCGCTTCGGCGCGACACGCTAACCAAGCCTCAGCCCCCGAGCGTCAACGTCCCGAGCCTCTTCCAGCCTCCCCTGGAGGAGCGGGGCGACATGCTATTATCGTGTCGCCGGGGCCGCCGCCGCGACTCGCCAAGCAAGCGTTCCTGACCGTCGTTCCCAGGACCAGTTTTCCATCACGAGTCGTTCTGTGACGCGCCCAGGGCCTCGC